TTTCATCCTCTACAACATCAGCTGTACAAATATACTGAGTTCTCTTGAATAAGCATTTCACCCATCCTCTCTTATAGTGTGAATCACTGGCTCCATAGAACCAGTTAAACTGCATGTTGTTACACATTAAGTAGGAACAGGCGAAATAAAGTTAGTTTACCCTTATTTCTCTAGAACAAGAAAATTGGAATGGTTATGAAGAGAGACAGTGCACACCTCTCTATACAACAGACATAGCGCTATCTCAAAAATTGGTAGAAATTTCTGTTCTGTTATATGAATATTGTTATCTGAACTGGTACAGCCTAAAATGGGTAGAATTCTATCTTCCTCTATCTTGATATAGTCTCATGTAGTCCCAGACATTCATAACCAGTAGTGCCAGGTGAGTTTTCCTATTCACTGTCACCTTCACGCCGCTTGATCTCACAAAAGTTTGAAAGGGCGAATGCAAACATCTGGAGGTTACAACCGGAATGATGGAGGATATGCTAGTCTTCTACCTGTTGGAGCTGAATAACCCCCATTCAATTACTTATGTCGTGTAAATGGTCTCCAGAATCCGAAAGGGCTGAATGGCAGTATGAACCTAGTTTGGTCACCGGAAACCATTGGAACATAGCTCTACCACATTCCTTATGGATTGAACTTAAACCTAAGGTTCAGGGGGGCTGAGGAGTAGCGGCTGCATAGGACAACCATTTTCTTAGGCTTGGGCATCTGAAACGCCTTTCAACCTCATTCACTCCTCGGTAGCAATGGGTTCCCTTTCACCTGGCATACCAGTAAAAATGGATGTAAACTGGAGTATATGTGAATATATTTTGAATGGTAAGTACGTCAGATCTAATTCCATTATAGATAAGATTTTTATTTTGATAAATCGCACAGTGTTTACAGTTATATGAACTGATGACGTTTCGAGCACAATTTATTGCTCATAATCATATCAAGGTAATCACACGACTTCCTAAATTCATTTATATAGTTCCATTGTGTTTTCTCTTGATTTTCACTTGATTTGATTGGTAATAGTATTTTCCATATTTCAGGTATGAGTGACGAGTCATTCCGATTGCATGTGTTGGGTGTAGACTCGATGAACAAGGATTCAGTAATCAACCTCTCTCTCCACCTTCCTAGATTACTTTTTAGAATTTTAACCCTCTCCCACCCTATTGTGTGGTTGTGTGTTAGCGCATGCATTGCAATTGCTGAGCTTTTTTCTAAATTATTTATCTTCTCGGGGTCAACCATTCTTACCTTAGCTAAATTTTTATGCTCTGACAATCTGACTACCCCTGACCTACTAGTTTGACCTATGTAGTTGACCTCACAGTCATTGCATGGTATTTTGTAAATAATATTATTTTGTCTAATTGGGTCAACTGGGTCCTTTAACCTACAGAGCTTGTCCCTGAGTGAGTTTGTAGGTTTAAATGCCACCCTAATTCCTATTTTATTCAGAATCCTACGTAGTGTCTCAGATGTCCCCTCTTTATATGGTATAACTGTGGATGACTTATATTCTTTCTTATTTATGTTATTATTACTAGTTTCACAATTATTTTTATTTTGTTTTTGGCCTTTAATGATCTTCCTAATGAATTTTATAGGATAGTTATTCAACACCAACGCTTCTTCTATCTGTTTTAATTCATCATTTAGATCTTTTTTTGTGCTACTTAGTGCCACTGCTCGGTTTGTTAAACATTTAACTAAGCCTGCCTTAACAGTTAAAGGATGAGACGAATTAAAGTCTAAATATCTATTAGAATGCGTTGGTTTTCTATAAACACTAGTGTGTAATTTGCCTTCTTTTATTCTTTTTATCTTACAATCTAACATCACAGCTAATTCTCCTTGTTCATTTTCTGATTCAAATGTGAATTTTATTCCCTCAACTTGTGAGTTTATATGTGTCAAGAAGCTAGAGATGTGTTCTGTTTTTAACACTGTGAAAGTGTCATCCACATATCTCCACCATATTTTCGGAGTAGGGTTAAATGTATTGAGGGCACTATTTTCCCAGCTGTCCATAAATATGTCTGATATATATGTCTGATATATGAAAAATCAAAAGAAGGCAAGATCAAACTTAACAAAATCAGAAAGGGAAGCTTTAATTAGTCTAAAACAGGATAAAAATATTGTCATCGCAAAAGCGGACAAAGGAAACGCCACCGTAGTTCTGAATAAATCTGACTATATCAAGAAAGTCAGTGAACATATTGAAACGGGTCCATATGAGGAAATTAGGAAGCCTGTAGATACAATAATGAATAAGGTAAAGAAATCTACAGCGGAATTATTACGGAGAATGAAGCCGTCACTGGGTGAGTCTAAATGGTTTAATTTAATGCCTAAAACTAATAATACTAGTAGAATATATGGTGCTATTAAAATACATAAACCAGGTTACCCCATAAGACCAATAGTAGATTTTAGAAATACCCCCACTTATGAATTATCAAAACACTTAGCTCTAATACTTTGTCCCATTAGAAATCGCTCAAACTCTAGACTAACTAATTCATATGAGATGAAAAGTAAGCTAAATGACATTCAACTAGAAAATGATGAAAAAATGGTTAGTTTTGATATAACTAGCCTTTATACTAATATACCAGTTAATATGGCCTTAGAAGCAGTTAAAAAAGAATTAACTGCGGATCCGGAACTCAGTCATAGGACAAAGCTGTCCATTGAAGAAATTATTTTAGGGATTCAGTTATGCCTCACATCTACTATCTTTAAGTTCCAAGACAAAATATATAGACAAACAGAAGGTGTAGCAATGGGATCACCAATATCCCCTATCGTAGCAGACATATTTATGGACAGCTGGGAAAATAGTGCCCTCAATACATTTAACCCTACTCCGAAAATATGGTGGAGATATGTGGATGACACTTTCACAGTGTTAAAAACAGAACACATCTCTAGCTTCTTGACACATATAAACTCACAAGTTGAGGGAATAAAATTCACATTTGAATCAGAAAATGAACAAGGAGAATTAGCTATGTTAGATTGTAAGATAAAAAGAATAAAAGAAGGCAAATTACACACTAGTGTTTATAGAAAACCAACGCATTCTAATAGATATTTAGACTTTAATTCGTCTCATCCTTTAACTGTTAAGGCAGGCTTAGTTAAATGTTTAACAAACCGAGCAGTGGCACTAAGTAGCACAAAAAAAGATCTAAATGAAGAAAGGATGCCAGCTTATTTTCTGGAAGGCACACCATTCATCCTGTGTGATGAGAAGAGTGTCGTAGGCATGAGACTACTACTAACTATCCAACTATCCAACTTCACCTTCTCACGTGATACACATCATCTGGCTTTCACTCTGTCTCTACCTATGCCATCTTTTGTTAAACAAGCTTGGTGTTTTCGAAGACCGACTGGCAGCTGGATTATTCGCGAATGCTTGGCATTTCTCTCATACCGAATCAGTACATTGTATGCGTATACAAAGTGAATTCCTCCAACACTACTTAGCTTACTATAGTCAATGTCCCTCACTCAATCAATCAGTCAATCACTCTGTCACGGACTGCTTAATCACTCACTGAATCAAGTTGGTCTTCTTCCTGCCTACATCATCACTTCGGCCTCCTTCTGATGCGGTCAGTCTTCTTAATCATGCTGATGATTATTTCACTATCTCCATTCCACCGCCTACTTGACAATTAGTCGCCATCCATCCTTGCAGATAATTTCCTAATACGGATATCACATTTCATTTCTTCCGCTTTCAGTAGTCATGTCACAGAGCTATAAAGATGGACACAGTGAAATTTCGTTATGTAGTACATATGTTCTTTGACCGGCAGCTACGCATCACCTCTGCGTCAGTGATGACTTGGGTGGTCAACATGTTTGACCCCTTGATTCCTTATCCCTAAGTAATTAGGAGGGTAGACCAGTCCTCTGGCATCATTTTACTTTTGACAGGAGCTTATCACATTTTAAACATTTGAAGATCTTCACTCAGGATGTTCTAATTAATTTGCTACATTCTTTCATCATTTCCACCTAGGAATAGGACACTGTCACTGGCATACTCTGTGCCACCCTTGGGAGTAACAAGTCATTCCCTACCTAATTCACTATGGTCAGTTAGGGGCAGTCTATTGCATTAGTACATCCGCGATGGAATCAAGCAAAATTTGGAAAGCAGTGGGCATTTCTGAATGAGAACTAGGGGTGTCATCCACTCAGGGGACAACTCTCTGCTTATCTCTTACACTACTGTGGCCGATCATACTTACTCTTCTAAGCCCTCCGTGACTCACTTGAACTGTTTTTAAGAGCATTGGTATGCACAGGAGGGATTTGATTGGTTAGAGGTTTGATCGCAAGCTGAGTGACGACATCAGTAAGTGGGGGAGGGAACCATTGTGAAACTAACCAACAAACCTGGGGATCCTTGACAGCAGTTTGGCCTCCTCCACCCATCAGTTGGGGACTCTTCGGCGATACACACTCACTCGCCAGGGTTTTAGTACAGGGCCTTCCAGTTACAAAGTGACCCCATGAATTCCCTCTCTCACCAATTAGTGATATATATATATATATATATATTACGAATTATAGCGGATGTTACCCGATGAATAACTGTCCTCTTACCTGACATGGTATGGACTCCACGCTGGCCACGCACAACACTTTTCACTAGGAACTGCAGCTGTAACTTTATTTCCTTTTTATATTTTATATTATTATTTCTGAGTGTACATTATCCCATATTGATTTCCATTGAAATATCTATTCAATTCCACACATGTATATAAATGAAGGAATAAAGTTGTGTGAGTAACTTGATATGATTATGAGCAATAATTTGTACTCGAAATGCCAGTAGTTAATATTAGTGTATAACAAACACTGTGTGGTTTATCAAAATAAAATCTTATCCATAATGGAGTTATACTCTGCTACAGTGCCTAAGTTTTATACCTATATCGATTTTTATATTTTCTTTTTCACAGTGTGATATCTCGTGCTCGTATAAAAACGCCTCCATTGGCACCCCTCGTAACCAATTTTAAACGTAGTGAGTCAGACGAGAATCTCGCTGAATTAGATCAGTTTGTTGCCCAGTTGAGAGCTAAACGTCAGCTACAACAACAGTTTCAACAACAACAATATATGGCTCAATTTCAAGAGATGCAAGGTCCAACTGTAAACACTCCAGCTGTAGCACCAACAGCCCCTTCATCACAGCATCTGCCATCCGCAGGAGAATATGGCCAACAGCACCAGTCGCAGGCGTCAGCACAGAATAACACCAGTCCACTGAAAATCACCTATCGTCGAAGTGAAGTAGAACAGGAAGAGAATAGAGGAGGAGGTGGAGGAGAACATGGAGCAGCCTCACAAAATGACTACAACAATGGCGGTGGGCATGACTCCCCAATGCAAGAAGACTCCCCAGAACCTCCACAAGCTCAATCACCACCACCTCCTATCATGGAGAATAATGAAGATTACTCGGTGAAAGGCGGCGAAGATGATGGCAATATACCAGTAGAAAATGCAGCAGCCTAGTGTGTTTGTTGATTGTTCCGTGTTGCTGTTGTTGTTCTTCTGATTTGGTTAGTTGGTTTGTTTGTGTTTCATATTGTGTAGAATTGTTCATCAGTCAGTTGATCCGTGAAATCGATCGATGAATAAATTTAATCACTGTATTTTTCTGCATCCCTATTCCACCAAAAAGAGGTGAAAAATTGAATTTCCGAATACAAGTCTTTTATTCGTGAGATGATGAGTGTGTGTTTTTTGTTTCTGTGTTGTCGATAATGTGTGGGATTCGAAGACTGCAATAAAATGCGCGTGAATCACTGCGGGGGGGGGGGCGTGAAGTCTATTAAATTGTCCAACAAAACTGTTAGTAATGAGGGTGTTGATTGAACAAATTTCTAAATAAACATAATATTAAAAGTCGGATTGGGTGTGAGGGCAAATACTCGCCACCACTGACATTGGCTAGTTCCAGTCGCCGGTATATTGTGGATTAACAGAAGTTGGAATTCATGGGTTGGCCATTGGATTGGGTCCCAGTGGCTCAATGGTCTACGAGCTTTCCCTATAACTAGAAAGTCTTCAGTCCGAACCTTTGTGATTGGTGCGTTCTGATGAAGGGTCCTGAACTTAACTGACGAAACAGCTGTTGAGTACTCCCTGGCTGGTTTTCCAATGATCCTCTAGCCGATGTCACCTTATTATGAAATCCTGTAACCAGTCAAATTCAATCCATGCCAACCAACACTTGAATATTAGAAGTCACTCTGAAGAACAACGATCTGGTACAGTTGCGATGGCAGAGTGAGTAGTAGACTGTGTCGGAATGCTGTTTCATGTGGCCGCCACACACGCTGTCACCATAGCCTTTTTGCCGTCAGGTAAGTTGTCTTATGCACACTGTCACCTACCTTCATCACGAGATGAGTGAGAGGGTGTGTTCCTCACAGAAGTGGTAAACACCGCTGGTGATATCCGAACGGGCGAAGAAAATGCAAGTCTACTTCATAGTGGCTTGTTGGGGAGGAGCTAGAAATTCATAATTCCAAACCTACGGTGTGTAGATGGGCTGCCTAGTAGTGACATATGAACCGGGTGGCCTCCCTTACGTAGCGACCACCTGCATACTTCTGTTGTCAGGATGTCTCGACATTGAGTAATACAGCCCTACTGACAAACTGAAATTGTCTGTGGCATATGGTGGCCTGATGCACAGAATGTGCAAAGTTTCTGTTTCAATAAATATGACCCTTTCTTCCAATAAATTCTCCTCTTAAGGTTCCTATCAGATATAAAATGCAATCTTTAGATTTAGTATTCACTAAAGAGCGCATATAGAAGGAGGACTGCACAGTGAATAGTGTTCATCATGAAAATCAATACGCATGTGGTGAAATGGATTGGATGTAGTCGTATATATTGAGAGAAGATTAGACAATATCGAAAAGAAAAGATGCCTAGGGGATTTGATTGGTTATAGGAGATTCTCCACAAGCTGAGTGAATCTGTTGGGAAACCCATCCAACGGAGGCGTACTGGACAGCTTGTTTCATCCCGCTAGTTTAGGACTCATTCTTCAGAAATCTTCACATGTAGCACAATGTGAATTCCGCGGTTTTCCTGGTGAACATATTCAGCCATTGGGATGGGTTGCTTTCGCTAAACACATGATAAATATCGTAAGAAAACGATTGCAGAGATGAAGATTTTCTTTTCAATGAAGTCAGCGTCAACCAGTCTGTACATTCGTGTACATATAGGAAATGTATGATAGAGTTCCAGGGATATTTATGGTGGAGTGTCAAATTAAATGAATGATAAGATTACAAATAGGGATCAAAATGTAATAATTACAAAGTTAATAGGAGATCGGATAAAGTCTATCTATTATCGTTACAATAAGGGCCAGTTATACAGTGGATCACCTTTTTAACACAGAATAATAGATTAGTTATAGAGTGTCAAAATAAATAGTCGTATTTGTGTGACAAACGTGCTAGGCTGAGTTCAGTTATTAAATATTGTGAAATGCAATACCATGATGGTGATTAGTCAAAGTAGATTCATACAATGTGGGGTAGGAAAAACTAACAAATCAGTTCAAGGTTATAAAAGGTGTCAGGTGAGTGGCTAGTACAAAGTCGTATATATTAAGGAGGAGATAGTAAGACTTCAATGAGAGGTTCAACATGAAATAACCAAAATGTGAAATGAAATATGTGGAGGCATGTATTGGGAAAACAGATAATGTCACTAATAATAAGTCCAAGTGTAGTGAGAGCTGTCTGCGAGCCAAAATTGTAAGCAGCCATGTACGCCAATGTTTACGTCCTGAAACGGGGTCATGAGAAGAAACAAAACTAAGCCTAACCTTGATGAATTCACCAACTAATCACAGCACACTTAGCTTGTGCAAATACGATTCTCAGATATATGGATAGCTTATGTAAGTAACGGTCACGAGGAGTACAGAAAAACCAATCAAAAGAAGTCGCTTCTGCATATGTCGGATTGTTAGACGTCACTTTCAGATACTACACGCGTGATTCACATGAACTGGTTTGTTTCGCTTGATTCCTGTCTCACAGTGATTGGCTGGGAGAGTTGAGCATATATGCAATCTTAAATACACATACATAGAGATATATCTTGGATGAGTATGTGTCTCCTGTAATGCTCTTGTTGTGTCGGCTTTTCCCTCATCATGTTGAGACATTCTGATATCAGTCTGATTCAGTGTTCACTTTTCAAGTTTGTTAACTCGTGTGGTCAGTGTTCTACGAATTCATTGTTTATTGCTCCGTCTTCCTGTGTTAATTGTTCATGGGCTACTTAGAAGTAGGCCTGTATTAACCGTAGGAAGCAGCACTGAAAGCTGTCCTCCGTAGGGCAGGGCGAAGTCGGCTGTCGCTAAGCCGACTCGTTACTATTGTAGTAGGAAGGCATTTGAAGTGATGCAAGAAATTGGTGAATTTCAGTCACAGTGTTGTTGGATGCACAGGAAGGCAGGCTGTCACAACCCTCGCTCGTTATTCACATCTCTCGCGCTTGCATCTATCTCATCATGTTGGTAGTTAGCTAGTCAGATAGCAAGTTAGTTGGTGAGGTAGTGAGTTGTTAGTTATTCAGTCAGTCAGTCAGCCAGTCAGTCAGTCAATCAGTCAGTGAATTAGTTGGTTATTTGTGTCGGTAGTTAGGTGGGTAGGACAAAAGAAGCCATTATGAAGACTTCATGTTTGCCTATGCATGCGACTCAATATTATATAATGTGAAGGATGCCAGCTTATTTTCTGGAAGGCACACCATTCATCCTGTGTGATGAGAAGAGTGTCGTAGCATGAGACTACTACTAACTATCCAACTATCCAACTTCGCCTTCTCACATGATACACATCATCTGGCTTTCACTCTGTCTCTACCTATGCCATCTTTTGTTAAACAAGCTTGGTGTTTTCGAAGACCGACTGGCAGCTGGATTATTCGCGAATGCTTGGCATTTCTCTCATACCGAATCAGTACATTGTATGCGTATACAAAGTGAATTCCTCCAACACTACTTAGCTTACTATAGTCAATGTCCCTCACTCAATCAATCAGTCAATCACTCTGTCACGGACTGCTTAATCACTCACTGAATCAAGTTGGTCTTCTTCCTGCCTACATCATCACTTCGGCCTCCTTCTGATGCGGTCAGTCTTCTTAATCATGCTGATGATTATTTCACTATCTCCATTCCACCGCCTACTTGACAATTAGTCGTCAGCCATCCTTGTCCAATCATCCTTAAACTAAATCCTGCATATGTCGGATTGTTAGACGTCACTTTCAGATACTACAAGCGTGATTCACATGAACTGGTTTGTTTCGCTTGATTCCTGTCTCACAGTGATTGGCTGGGAGAGTTGACCGTTTTAAATAAACAAACCACACATGTCAGTGGAATCACTCTGTTGTTGTGTGGACTGAAATGTTTGACTCTTTACAAAATGAATTGTATGAACAGCGATAAATGTTATATCGTTGATAATTGGCTCTCGCATCTACTCTGAATCCAAGAGTTTAAGTTAGCTGTGACGAGGGACGATATCTTACCTTTCATGATATCGTTCGTTGCTTGTAAATAAAAACGGACATGAATTTGATTGTGATAATATAGAATTTTAAATAGAGAAATCAAAAGTACAATGAAGGGATTTCTAGAAGCCTGATATTCACATAAATCAGCCAGCGATTAATAAACTTGTCATTGTAGACGAAATTTATCAGCTAATAAAGAATAAATGACAAGACAAGAAAGTTCATATTCGAAATTAATAAAAATGATTTACAGAAATAGTTGTAAGTTAACAACAAATCACGACATTAAAGGTTATCAGGAGATACAATTCATCCAGAATTCATCGAATAAGTTCATTTTATATTAAAATATGCGTTGGAAAACGGAAGTTCTACGGTCAAATCTACTACCAGCTCAGCTCAGAAAACAGCACAGCATCATACACCTGAGCTACAAATCTCCACTATTTCACAATAAATGGCAATCGGCGTTAAGCAAGCATAATTGAGTGACTCTACATATTCTACTGATTATTATTATTATTATTATATCCTTTAATTCCTAGAGGAACATAGGGCTTCAGCCGCGCGTCTCCATTGCGTTTGGTTTTCTGCCAACTTTTTCCCTCCGCTCCAAGTCTGCGCACATGCTTTCATCTCCTCTTCACATGACCTCCTCCAAGTAACCCTTGCACTGACGACCAAATTGCCGCCCGCTTCCCTTTCGGGTTCCACTCGAACGATGGCTTGTCTAGTGATGTCACTTGACGGTTTCCTCAGCGTGTGGCTAATCCATCTCCATTTCTTCCTGCTTATTTGTTTCACAATCGGTTCCTGTTATGTTGGTTCGCTCATTGCCAGAGATCCCTGTTGCTTATCCTTTCTGACTGGCCATCTGATCTTGAGTATTGAGCGAAGACAACTGTTAATAAAGATCTGAAGTTTGTTTGAGATGCTCTTCATGACTCGCC